CTCGTCTCCAGCCGCTTTCTCGGCTCCCCTGCGAGGGGTTGTGTTTTACAGCAGCCCTTGTTAATGCTTTATTCTGGAAGCTTGGCGCTTACAGCGGAGGCGTTAAAACAGGTCTGTTGGTGTCCCGTGTGTCATCGATTGTCCTTTAGGTCCTGCTCTTCTGTTTGTAAAGACCAGCCAAGGAAAAGAGGAAGGAAGACGATTTTATGCTTGTTCAGCTTGTAGGGATAGAAAAGATTGTAACTTTTTCCAGTGGGAGGATGAGAAGGTAAGAGAGTGCTGCTTAAGGCTATGGTAAATATTGGGGATTTTTTTTTCTCTACTTAACAGAAAATTGTTAAAAAAAGGAGTATATTTTGTTCTGGAAATCTGTGGCAATTGCTGTTTTGTAAACTTTGTCTAATAGTTTATGTTTAGCGGAGCACTTATTTCTGTCAGGAGAACATGTTTCAAGTGTAGCTTTCAAGGAAGGCTGCGTGCATTTTGAGCAAGACTGGCATTTGTTACTGCATTCATTGCCAAAACACTTAGGAATTCAAGTTACGAAGTTTGCCAATATTATGCAATGTTGAACAATGTGGGATAGTTCTGATCCCAAGATGTCCTCATCTTCCATGATTAAGACAGAGAAAATCTGGTGGATACAGGCAAACAATGGGATGTACAAAATAGTGAGATGGTGGGGATCAGCATGATGCTCAGTAGTCTCGGAACATCTGCAGCAATTTCTCTTCGTCTAAAGAACTTTGGTCAGATAATTGTAGAGTAGCAAAATTGGGATTGAAATATATTCACAGAGAGCTTGCTGTGTTTTTTGTCCAGTATGTTTTGTGTTACTTTTTCTGTTTCCTAAATGAGTATCTTGTGTTGTGGTCATTGTCTTCAGCAGGTTGGCAGGCTGGGATTTAATCGGATTCGTAAGCGTTTCATTGCTGTGTTGGTTACTACTGAAAAGTTGTATAAAGAGAAAATGAGGTGGTTAATCACTCAGTTGTGTAGATTTAAATGGTATTCCTAGTGAAATTTCATTTTGAATGTCACTTGTATCGTGGCGTCTTTTGTTCTATTGAATTTTACTGTCTCCCCCTTCAAACAAATGAGTCCCATAAGTTTTGCGCAAATCTCCTGAAACTCTGTTAACTGTGAAACCATTAAGTATGTTTTGTGGGAACAAAGTAGAAGACTCAGGGAAGAGTTGTCATGCTTTTAAAACAACCACACACCAAAAGACTTGGGCAACATTTCCACTGTCATCAGTTGTGCAGGATCAGTTCATAGTTCTTCAGAGGGAATGCAACTGCTGGCACGCATTAATGGAAAGTATCCCTCTTTCTGTCTTGATCATAATGATGTTTTGAGTTTTTCCCTGAGTATTACATGTGGTAGAAGAATGAAATGCTTCTACTTATTTATTTTTTGCAGTTTAAATTTACAATGAGAGATTCGTGTTGTTATGCAGCATGCCTCTGTGCTGCAGTCATGCTTGTTCTTCTGAAACAACAATCCAAAGAATTGGATTCATCAATTATCAATTATCAAAGGATGTGATAACTTTTCTATGCAGAGTAGCTAAAGCATGAGACCATTGATGCACCCTTTTTGTTTAATATTGAGATTTAATCTACAATACAGAGTGATATCTGTTAATTTTGTAACTTTTTATGTACATAAATTTTACAGGTGTCAGAAACTAGGCTTGCAGCACGTGAAGAATATAATAGAAATCATCAGCCACCTTTTACACACAGACAGAATGTGGAAAGGTATTGTTACGTATATTTTCTTCAGTAAAAATCAAGTAATGCAAGTTTAGGTACTCTGAATATAGAGATAATATTTCAGGATTCTTTAAAATATGAAAACATGCCAGAGGGATTTGGAAAAATAAGTACTGGTTGACTGCAATGGGAAAATAGCATGAAACATCTAATTAGAGCATGGTATTTTCAACCCAGGAACTGTTTGTTTTGGGTTTTTTTTTTTTTTTTTTTGCTATGTATAGTTCTTACGTTAGTGCTCATAATGTGCTAACAACAGGTCAGCAGCAGTTTCAGTTCAAAAAATTATTTGTGACTTTAGTTTGCAAAAGTAACAGGCTTAACATTGTGAGAAGAAGCAAAGGTAATACAGTTACAAATAATCTCCGAGGTTTTTTGTGTGTAAACATACAAGACTGCTTGCTGGTTGTTGATATAGAGTCTTCACTCTGTAATCCGGTTATTTTGTGGGGACTCTCAATATATTTGGCCAGCATGTTATATGCTTGCTCTCAGGGAAGGCTTTTTCAAAGTGTCCTTTGAATATTTTTCATAAATATTACTTCATTCACATGTAGATAGTGGAGTTTTGCAAGAGCAGCTTAAACTACGTTGCCTGTTGAACTCTTAAAAAATATGAAACCCCCTTCATAGGTCCCCTTCATATCTTTTATAGAGGCTTTTTCAAAGTTTGTTCCCTATCGTCTTTTGTATTTAAAGGTACAAGAATTTTGTTCTGTTGCCGTTATCAAAGAAGGTTTTGGAATTCCATCAATGGCTATTGCCAGCTGAATGGGAAAAACACTCGGATCACCAGTTCCTGTGTGATATCTCCTCTGCGCAGTTAAAAAGTCCCAGTCAACTTCTGTATCCACTGGAGAATAAAAAAACAAATGCGCAGTATTTATTTGCAGACAGAAGTTGCCAGTTCCTACTGGATCTTATTACTGGTTTAGGATTCAGACGCGTGCTCTCTGTTGGAACACCCAGGTACGTCAGTGAGAATTGTTGCACTTTCAAATATTTCTGTCTCAAAACTGTGCAGCTTACTAATAGTTAAATCATCAAGGATTCTCCCACAATAAGAGGTTCACTATGCTTTAATTGGTAGGGATTATCCAAGCATCTAGTGGGGTCTTGTTTTGAGCTCATAAGATACAGGGGAAGACTGTAGCTGCACTGCAAATAAGAGACAGACAGACTCTGACACTCTCTGTCTTCCCCCCTTCCCCCCCCCTTCTTACAGAAGTGACAATGAGTTTCTTTGCTTACGTTTGGGTTTTTTTTGTTCCTGGTGATCCAGTAGGCTCCACTGACTTTTCATTTTTTAAGACTAACATATTTTTCTAACTTTGAATATTAGCCAAATGGAATCATCCAAATTCAGATTACTTCATTTTCTCTGTTTGGTTTTAGGTTTAGTAAAGTACCAGGCATTCTTGTCTTGCAAGATAATTTCTGAAGCCAATGATTATGTGTTAAATTTCTTTGCTCCAATTATACTTCAGGCTTCATGAAATGATCCAGTCAAAAGCATCACAAGAAGATTTCAGGGTTAGAAGCCTTCTGCTAGATATTGATTTCAGGTAGGTTTTGACAAACGTTTATCTGTCCAAAGAGTATGTACAAAGATTTGTGGTGTTACTGCTTTAAAATATAAATTCGTGGTTGTTTTCCCTTTCCTGTCTCTGCATCTCTGTTCCTGCACACATACACAAATGACATCCAGTTTATGAGAAAAGTAATTATACTTAATAGTTTCCAGTATTGGTATGTGTTGTCAGTAATCAGAACCCAAAGATGATGTTTTTCTTAGGGCCCTGTTTTCACTGTAAATGCCCCTTAGGGCAGGCAAGAAGTTGTTTATATTTTTCTACTACTTAAAACTTATTTTACAGGTATTCACAGTTTTACACAGAAGATGAATTCTGCCACTACAACATGTTTAATCATTATTTTTTTGGTGGAGAGGTAAGGCCAAGTATTTCTTGAGTGCTTTGTAAAGAAGTACATGTTGTTGATGC